GCTAGCGGACTGTCTCGCGGAGCCAGGACGCAGCCAGCGCAGAGGCCCAGAAGCTCTGCACAGTGGCTGAGTGTGTGTCCCCTCCTCGGAGGCAGCCGGGAGGCCAGGGGCCCTCCCACAAAGGGGTGCTCACCCCACCCTCTCTTGTTTTCCCCCCACAGATGTGCACTCCTGCCAACACCCCCGCCACGCCCCCCAACTTCCCTGATGCCCTCACCATGTTTTCCCGTCTCAAGGCTTCCGAGAGCTTTCACGGTGGTGGCAGTGGTAGCCCAATGGCCGCCACGGCCACATCCCCCCCGCCGCACTTCCCCCACGCCGCCACCGGCAGCTTCGCGGCCCCGAGCTGGCCTACTGCCGCCTCGCCCCCGGGGGGGCCACAGCACCACCAGCTGCAGCAGCCGCCCCTGTGGACTCCGGCACCTCCCTCCCCAGCGTCAGACTGGCCACCCTTGGCCCCCCAGCAGGCCACTTCAGAACCAAGGGCCCACCCTGCCATGGAGGCCGAGAGATAAGGGAGGCCCCTCCCCCCTCCCGGAGGCCAGGACCCTGTGGGGCGGGGGAGAGGATGTCTCTGTGGGCCCCCTTCACCCTCCTCTGTCTGCACCCCCCGTTCCCCGGAGCCCTGGAGGGGAGAGACTGGACCTTGGTGCCAGCACACAGGCTGCCCACACACAGACATGGATGCGCAGGCACGGGGCACCCACCTTGCATGGATTTGGTTCAGAGTTGTCTTGGTGCTGGTGGACAGAACTTCAGAGAACAAGCAGCCTTCCCCAGAGGACTTGCTCGCCCTGGCCCAGCCCAGGGGGCTGCGGAGAATCGCCACAGCAACGGAGACTTGGCTGGCTCCTGTCTTGGAGCTCCTTGGGGGCCAGCAGGCCTAGATCCCCACCCTTGGGAATGCAGAGCCTTCTCCGCATGTGTGTGTGTAGCTGTGTCTGTATTTATATGTATGTCGCTCTCCAAGAAGCAACCTAGTTTATGGGGCAGCTGGACTTTGCATGTTAGAGTGAGCCCCCAAGCCCCTTGCCCGCCACCCCTCTCCCCAGGGCCCTGCCTCTCTCCCGCCCCCTTGTCAGCCAGCCTTGCTGTTCCCTGCAGAGAAAAGAATTGTGGGAAACTCCAGGACTCTTCCCACCCATTCCTCAGCGCCTGCCTGCTGGGGCTGCCTGCATGCCTCCCCCAGAGCCCCGGGGTACCTCACACCCTTTCAATTCCCCCTTTTAACAGAAGAAAGAGTTCAAACCACCACCAGGCTCTGTGGTCTTGCCTCACATCCTGAGCTTTGCTGCCGGCTGGCTCCATGTGGAGAGGCAGGGCACCCCCAGTCCCGCCTGGCTCCACACGGTTCCTGTCTGCTGCTGTCTTTCAACCACAACATGGCTCTGGAACCTTTCTGCCCATCCAAGGCTCTTCCCATGAAGTTAGTTTCTGGCCTGTGTTCCCAGAATCCCTGCCTCCTGCCCATCCTTCCCCACTGTCAGGCTGGACTGATCCTGACCTCCAGGGCTAACAACTGCCTTCCCGTCTGCTTGAGTCTCACACAGGACCTTTCTTTGTCTTAGGGTCCCAATGGCTGGCTACAGGCTGGACTCTGCAGGCCCAACCTCCAGTAGACATGCTGAGTAGGGCAGGGCCCTCCCCCTGGGGAGGTGCACATAGCCAACCTCTGTGCAGAGCCAGTGGGGGCTTGTGACAGGAACAGGACGAGCCCAGGGCAGAGTCCAACCTGCAGCTCAAACCTTTGGTCACTAAGGAGACTGGCAACCTAGGAGCGATAGGATCCTGGGCTCTTCTGGAGCTGGGCTGGGGCAGACACCTGCTCTCACCCCAAGGGAGAAGCCAGGGGTGCCCCACTCTGCGCACCCCCACCCCCCCCACCGGCAGCTGCCCTTGCTGGGAAAGGGGCTTCCTGGGGCAGCCTCAGCCTTGTACCTCTTGTGAGGGGCTGGGTTTTGGGGAAGGAGGGAGGCCAAGGTCTCTGCCCAACCTTCAGTACAGGCGGACCTCACTCTCTAACTTAGGATCACCTGTCCGGCGCCCACCCGGCACCTTGGTCTTCTGCGGATGACACCTGGGTTGGAGAGTTTCTTCTATTTCAGGAAGTCTCCTGCTTGACTGACATCTCTACGCTCCCCGCTGGCGGTCCTGCCCTTGCTTCCAGGGATGGGGCTGGGTCTTCTGATGAGGATGTTCCTGTGTTGGGTGTTCTCCGAGCCACTACCTGGCTTCAGCTTTGTCTCCGCCCTACTGGACCCTGGACAGGCTCAGGGGACGACTCTGCTCTCTGGCTGTTACTGAAGACTGACCGCTGGGCCCCGCTCCAGCTGTTGTTTCTGTCCTGCAATCGTGTCCTCACCTTGAACCGCCCCCCCTCCCCACTTCCAGCAGCCTTCCTGGCCTTCCTCCAGGAGAACGAAGGACAGCTCTGTGAGGAGTTCTTGTGGAGAGGGGAGGGAGGGAGGGGCGGGGTAGGGTGAGGGTGAGGGTGAGGGTGTCTTGAGCCTCCTGAATCTTCACCACAGCCTTCTGGTGGGAGAAAATGCGCAGATAACTGCCACACAGCCCCCTCGAGCGGCAGGAGAGCTGCAGAGGCAAGTATGTGTTTGTGGGTTCTCCGCTCTGTAGGGGTGCGTGTGCCTGGGTTGTCCCAGTGAGCAGATGACTGGGTGGTGTGTGTGTGAGAGACGAGGAGACCGTGCACCATCGAGAATTTGCACTCCTGGAGGCAGAGGCTCAACCCCGGGCAGGCCAGCGGGGGGCCTGTAAATAAGCCAGTCTTGCTACTCAGAGTTTTGTTAGATGGAGGACCTCAAGCTCCACGTTGAGAGGTGTCCCTACACAACATCTCTACTGAGTGCTGATCTGTTGGAGGTGAGGTGCACTTCTGTGTCTGGGGGTCGCCATGGGCTGGCCTGGAGGCCTCAGGTGGTCACATCAGGCTGGAAAGGACCTGAGGTTCCTGTAGGTCCTGGGTTTCCAGCCTGGGCACTGTGGATATTTGGAGCTGGATTACTGTCTGCCATGAGGTGTCATGTGCTCTGGGATACTGGCCAGCATCCTGGCCCCCACCCACTACATGCCAGTAGCATCCCCCAGTTGTGACAACCGGAAGTATCTGTAGACATGGCAAAATGTCCCCTAAACCCAGGTTCCCATAGTTGGCTGCAGAGCAGCGCCTCCGGGGAGCTCCGTAAAAAGACAAACCACAGACTCCTAGATCCCATGGCATCAGAGTCCCAGGGGAGAAGCCCTGACCGTATTATTTTAAACGTTCCACAGGATACTGGTTGATCAACTTCAGAATAAAAAACCATTTAATCATATACCTTGAAAGGGTGAACTTTAGAGAACGCCAACTGTATGTCAGAACTGTTACTCAACTCCCAGGTGTTTGTGAGGCAGGAGCCGGGCACTCGTGCCTCCCAGTGACCGGGAGCCACCAGACTCATGACCCCAAACTTGTAGGGCATAAGGGTCCCCTGGGTGCTTGAGGCAACTGCTCTGGAGGAGGGCCCAGGAATCTGATTTTTCATCAGTGCCCTAAGCAAGGAGGGGGCAGAGAGCAGGGCCAGAGCTGGGGCTGGGGACTCCCCTAACTTCCCAGCAAATGCAGAGGCCCTGTCAGGTGTGCTGGGAGCTCCTGGTCTGAGATGCTCAGACCAGGGGAAAGGCTGCAAAAGCAGGCCAGACAAACTTGAGGGGGAGGCAGAGCTGGGAACAGAGAATCTGGAACCTTCCTCAACTTCCCTGAGGCTGGAAGCTCAGACGCAAGGCTGAAGGAGTTAGTAACCATCTATTACACATTAGGGTGTAAAATGGCTGGAAAGCAAAGGTGCTGGTGCATGAACGGAAGGGAAGAGACAGCCATCCTCAGCTGTCCTTGATCTCAGCGCCTCCTGGGAGCTACCCCAGCAGCACACACGGGAAACTGGCCTTGTTACTTCAAAGTGCAGCCTCTTCTGGGCATGGTCACCCCCTACCTGCCTGCCGGACTTGAGCTCAAATGACCGTTTCCAAAGTTCTGCTCTAAACACCATTTGAATCCGTGACATTGCTTGAAAGGACAATTTGAGCTCATTTCTGAAGACTGGACGTGGCAGCGTGTGGGATGAAGGTCTGGCTTCCCCAGGTGACAGGCAGTGGGTGTGTCTTTCCAGTCTGCTGTTAAAACACCGGAGCGTACTAACTTAGGGGTTTGCCAACGCCTAGTGCCCTGACATATGCTGCTGGGCTTGCATTATGTTCCATGTCTTTCTGAATGGTCTACCAACACTTTAAAATGAGAGTTTGCACGAAAAGCCCCACTTCTGGCTCACCTTGGACATTTGTAACAGCTGGCCCAGGTCCCTGCAAGGCCGCAGCTGGCTGAAGCGGACCGTCACAGTGGGGACACAGCCAGCCTGCCCCTAGTCAGCCAGGCCACTCCACTGGCCACAGACGTGTGTGTCCAGTTCCTGTCTCCAAGTCGGTCAGAATCTGGAGGGACCTTGTTTTTCACCAGGAAGAGCTTCACAAGTGAAAGGCCTGCTCCGTGGGTTGGAGGGGGGCAGCTGGTGGATGAATGTAGACTCTCAAACGCTTTCTGCGGGCAGGCAGGGCTCCCCTTCAGACAGCTTTCAAAAGAGAAGGGCTTGTTCTCCAAGATTCTCTTGGATGAAGTGGACACTCCCAGGGCCGCTAAGGATCTCCAGGGTCTTTCGAGGGCTCTCTGAGAACACATAGTGGCCGGCAGCAGAAAACCACGCTGTCCCCAAGGCCGGCCCCCAAACCCAGCAGTGGGCGGGGCCACCATGGCTCTGGAAGTCTCTGAGGGGCTTTTATAGCAGGACTCATCTGAGGACAGATGCGAGCTTTGAGTCTGGTTACTTCCCAGGGTCAGTGTTGGGGAGGCTGCCTGGGCTGGACAAAAGGAGGTCTTTTGAAGCAAGGCTATTTCCAATTCCAGCATTTGGAAGGGTCTCTGGTTGCTTAGCCACAGCTTCTGTTTGGGCAATTTATGTGTTTCAGATGCGCCTCAGAATAACTCCACTCTTACCCATTCCCAGGATGGCCAAGGCCGTGTCACCGGCACAGCCCGAGGTGCTGGGAGCCTGCTGGCCGACCTCTGCTCTTCCCAAGGCCATTTCTCCTGGGGAACAAGAGCTGCACATGCTAGTGGGGTGGTTTCCTGTGGATCCTGCTGAAGCCATGAGCCAGGCAGATCTGGGACGGTTGGTCACCTTACCCCCTGTCCAGCCTGACACTGCTGCTGTGTCACAGGCCAGGAGCCATGTCCCCCTGGCAAAGGAGGAGGTTGGACCCAGGACCTTCTGAAATTCCCACTCTGCGGACCCCATCCTGGTTCTGTCTGCTCCCCAAGCACATTTCCCTGCAGGGAGAGGGTGGGCTACCTTCCTGAGGCACCTGCCTGGGGGTCGGTGCAGCACCTCCCTCCCAGCTTCCTGCAGACCCCACCCTCTGGGGCTGGAATCTGGAGGGGCAAGGATTCTGCCTGCAACTCCCATCTGGG